GCGCCCTCGGCCCATCCCTGGACCGAAACCCGGGCTGGTCGGCACCCCTCCCCTGCCGGGGTCCCTCCACCGGCTCCGGGGCTCTGCCACTCCGGTCCCCCGACACCACCACGTCCCCGCGGGCCCCCACACCCGGGGTCCCCCCCCCAGCAGTGTGTCAGGACCTGGGCTGATGATCCGGGGTAGGAGAGTACCGGGATGGGGGGCTGAGACCAACTTAACAAGGGTCCGTGAAAAAGCCAGGGATGGACATGGCCGAGGAACGGGGCAAAAGCATCCGTACACCTGTAATCCGGGTGGGAAACACAGGCTGAAACACTGAGAAGTTGCTGTAATTAAACGGGGGGTTAATTCCTGGGGAATGTTGGTGCTCACCCCACCCGGGAGCCAGGTACAGAGCGGGTATTGGGCGCATGCAATGGCATTCCCATGGCTGGGGCGGGGGAGCGCTGGGGCTGCCACACACCACGGCAGCGGCAAAACGGGGATCCAGAGCCCCCGACAAGCTGCCTCCCCGCTCCCTGCCTCAGCTCCTCCAGCTCCAAGGAGCGAGGGACCCAGCATGCCTTTACAGCACAAGCACACTATGCATTTGCAACTTGCTCCCACTGCTGTACTGAGGGAATCCCACAGCCTGTGCCTCTCCTCCAAGAGAGGAATTCGTAGGATTTGTTTCCTCGGTGAAGCTCAGGAGAAGCAAAGCTGTTGCAGGATCCCTTGGAGGATCTGGTTTCCTTCACCACGCTGCAAAAATCTGCTTTTGCTTTCCAACACCCTCCTGTAAATTCGTTCCGGGCTCCAGGGCTTTTGCTCAGTCACGTTGCAAATCCAGCCACAGCAAACAGTGGAAAATGCGCCAAGCATCAGCCCCTCTAAATGGGCCTTTGCCGGCCAAACCCCCCTCCACTCCATCCCCACACCGCAGAGGGGGGTTTCCTGCCAGCTCTGCCTCCAGCCTTGCCTGCCGCTCCCCCTCCGCGGCCCCCAGCCCCTTGGCTCAGGGCTGCCTCCCTCCCCGGCTCCCCTCCCTGGCCCATCCAGCACAGTCCCAGCGTGCCACAGGTTTTCAGGCCCCGCATCTACGAGTCACTGAGCAGCTGGGGCTGCAGCTGCTCTGAGGGCAGAGGAAAGAGCTGAGGGGCTGGGGGGTGGTGAGGTTTCCCTACCTGCATCCCCCAGAGCCGGTTCAGAGACTGAGCAGGGAAAGGATAGGCTGTAGGTGACCCAGACAAGGCAGTATCATCTGCACATTCAGGCATCCCTGTAGCAAGCACACCCTTCCCTGCCTTGCACAGGGGGCAAAGCAGTGGGGTGAGCCTGGTCCTAGATGCCACCTTCAGCCCACACAGCTCCCAGCCAGCACAGGAAGAGAGCCAGTGCTTAAATACCAGGCACCACCAAAAAGTGGGTCCAGCAATGGTCCCTGGTTATTCACTTCCCTTGCCCTTAGCAGGGGTGGACAGGCCCATATGCTGCTGTCCTTCTCCATATGCAGGAACCCCAGCCTGGCTCCTTCTCCCATGTGCCATGGCCCAGGCACCTGATGTATCCCTGTTCCTGTGGGATTACTATGGCCTCTGGGTGGCTGGATTCATCTGAGCATCACTGCAGCATCTGCCACTTGCAAGGCAGGGAGAGGCCATGGTGCTTTAATGATGCTGGCTCAGCTCTCCTTGTCCTGGACCTGGGCTGATCTCCTGGACCACTCCACAGGGAGCTGGGGCTTCCAGCAGTTGAGGCCAAGGAAAAAACCCACCCTGGAAAAAAAGCCCTGGGCCAAGTGACTCAATGCATGTCAAGTCAGGGAGGGTTGGTGAGCTGCATTGGTGATGGTGGAGTCAGGAATGGGGGTTATGCCATGACAGAAGCAAACATCACCAGGAGATGCTGGGACAGGGGTACTGCTGGCACACTGCTTTGAGTTAATAATAAACCAAATCTTCCTTGTTTCAGTTCAAACCTGCAGCTCCTCTCCTTTTCTTGCTGTGCTGAGCAGCCTACAAAAGCTGTGACCCGGCCAGCCCACCCCAAGGCTATGCGGCTCAGTGGGTCCCACCCACATCCTGGGGGTCCACTGTAGGGACGAGGGATGGGCAGCAGGCAGGACCCCACGTGCCAGGCAAGACCCACACTGGGAGGCAGCCGGGAGCTCAGATTTCTCTAGGCTTTTCCAGAACAAATTCCTCCCGAGAACAAACCCGTCAGCAAATTCTTCGGGAATCGGCTGCAGCTGTGAGCGGTAGGGGGGGTGGGGGGGGCTCAGTGGGCTCGGTGGGGCTGGATGCAGCTCAGCTGCTTTCGGGCAGGAATCCCTCTGCTTTCACTGGGGTTTTTCCACCAGCCCCATCCCGACTTGCTAGTCGTATAACTATGGGCCAGGAAACAAATGGGAGGCGGGGGCTGCATTCCGATGACGCCCCCCCTTCTGCCCACCTTCCCCCCCCCGGCTGACACAGCCACGCCAACTTTGACACCTCGGGGCCGGTTCGGTTCCCACGGCAGCGCGACATGCCAGGCTCCCTTCTTACCTCTGACCCCGCAGCAAACAGGAGCACCCCCTAAACGTCCCTACCCCCCTCACCCCTCACCTCCTGCCCCCCCCAGCCCCGGCGAAGGGGCCGAGCCGGCAGAGCGGTGCAGGCAGCAGCTGGGGGGTCTCTGCTGCCACCTCCAGGGCATCGCTGGCCACGTCCCGTCCCCTTGCCGTGACACTGTTGTCGCTATACCTGGGGCTTACAGATCCTGGAGCAGTGCGGGGCCACCTCAGCTCCCTCCCCGTCTCGCTGCACCCGAAAACAATCCCCCCACCCAACAGCCCACTCTGGGGACCCCCAAAAAAGTTTCATGTCGTGAGGGGTTTGGGGACCTTCCTGGGGTGTGGGACCCCTCTGCTCAGCCTGCCCTGGGCACGTGAGGCTGCATAACACCCCCCGACCAGTGCTCTGGAGGGTGCTGCCAGCTCTGTAGCACCGTACCCTATGCCCGCTGTCCCCCTCGGCCACCACCTCTCCCCACAGCCTCCAGCAGCGCCAGCGGGGCTGGGATACAGCCAGGAAAGGTGACCCACCGCCAGTGTCCCGGCAC